TACCGACTCGGTAAAGACAATTCTGTCGCGGACGCACCCTACCGTAAAGTATGTGCTTCCAACTTTGACTGCCAGAAACTGAGGACGCTACACGACTCGCTGTGTCACCCTGGAATCACGCGTATGAACCATTTTGTGCGCTCCAAAAATCTACCGTACTCGGTTGAGAAAGTCAAAACAATCGAAACCGCGCCTTCATAAGTCGCTCGCGGGGCACCTAATCAAGACTATGCAACCATTTGAAAGACAGCATCGATTCCAAAGGGCCGTTAATCTTAACATCTCGTAATCGGTACATTCTGACGCTCATAGACGAATACTCCCGGTTCCCATTCGCCTTCGCCTGTCCAGATATGCAATCGTCTACGGTCACTAACTGCCTCTGCCAACTATTTTCGATCTTCGGGATGCCAGTCTATATCCACTCGGATCGGGGTCCATCGTTCTTATCGTCTGACTTATCAAATTTCTTACGAGATAAAGGAGTGGCTACCAGTCATTCAAACTGCCTACAATCCGCAAGCTAATGGTCAGGTTGAGCAATTGAACGGTACTCTTTGGAAGGCTATTTCCCGGGCACTGAAGATGAGGGGCTTAGCTACATCCCAATGGGAACCCGTCCTACCAGACGCACTGCACTCGATCCGTTCTCTCTTATGCACCTCCACAAACGCCACTACACATGGACGACTTTTCTGTTTTATCCAACGCTCCACCAGTGGTACGTCTCTTTCAACCTGGTTGACTACCCCTAGTCCCGTACTGCTCAAACGCATGGATCGGTCCTCGAAGCTGGATCCCCTCGCGGAAGTTGACCTTATCNACTGCAATCCGCATTACATCTAGGTGAAACTTCCTAATGGAAGAACAGAGAATGTCTCCATTCACCGTTTGTCCCCCCGGAGCGACCCACTGATATCGACACCCGAACTCCCAGCACCAACAGAGCCTCCCTTCGCACCGCTTCACATCGTCCCTCGACAGAATCCGACACCTTACCCGAATATCCTAGTCTTGACGAAGAATGAACCCCTCCACCGACAACGCTCACACACCACTCATGCCGATATACTAAAACAACAGCAGAGAACACGCCCAAACAATCTACGAAGTAGAGAAGCGCGAAAAAAAACTTACTACTCAGTCTTTTTCCCACCACAGAACACATACTCGAAGTGTTTCACCTTCCATAAACGGTCGTTTCCCAGTCGGGGTATATGTCATATTTTGGTTTTCTTGTCCATACACCCTTTTCCATTACGTACTACATAAACCCCTTTTTTCTATTACAGCTCATGTACCGGATTTATTAGTTGAGTAAAGCGTATAATGGACGACTCCGAGTCTTCTTCATTCTGCTCTCGTTTGTTCGTAAAACTTTACAATCACGGGGTGAACTTCAAAAACCTGTGGTTACATGGTCCGAAACCAGTCTGTAAATGCAGTATAGAGAATAAACTGTGGACAGTGATTGGAATTAGGCTATGACTTACGAAAACGGAGTCGATGGATTTGTCGGTGACAAGGCCGAACCGGGGACTTGGATTGAGCCAGACTGAACATCCCCGAGGAGTTGATCAGTTTTGGGTGTCTGGTTTGTTGAGGGGGACTTGACCCCCGGGGACATGAGTAAATTATGTCTATCAAGAATTATGCGCGAGAGTCTACGACAGGTTGTGTGCAACAAGTCTTTAGGATTTGGAAGCCGTAAAGGAGTCGATAAAGCTTCTTCGTCATTTCTAACGCCTTCGATAAACGACTGACTACAGCGCGGCCGAGCATCCACCATGGGACTCGAACGAATTGCTTCTACACGGTCCTTGAGTGAGCGAATTCGGCGCAGGTCAACGGATTTCCTTACGACATACTTGGGTCTAGATAAAAGAGACGAGTTAATCAAACGAAAACCAACTTACGGCTCAGTATTTTCTTCTGACTCATCTTCCCCCTCAAACCATGGATTTCCCGGGACGCATTCACGAAACATGGAAGATTTCACGGTTATTTCGTCATCGATTTCTACCTCATCAGCGAAGATTTCATCCCGCTTGATGTGCCGACCCCCGGGGGTTTTGGGCAGCAACTCAAGACGAACACGCTTTGTCATGTCTATTATCAAAAGAAACGAAGAGCGATTACGTGAAAGACATCTTTCAAACTCAGAATGTTGGGCTTTATTCACGCGCACAATAATTATGAATGTTCGGAAACCTACCAAAATGTTCTCGGGAGTATACTGTAGTGTATTACAGTACTCTCTTGTGAATAACTTTCGTGTATTGACAACCCATTTAGGTAGCAGCAATAAGTGCTTACATATTTTCACTCGCCCAAGTCCAAACTGTACCAAACAAACCACTGCACAATAAGTGACTGGTTAGAGGTTGCATAAAGTGAAGACTAAATTGGCATTACCATGGCTTCCCAGTTGACCTCAAGGATAAGAGTCGACCACGAAACACGAAATTGGTGTTACAAGCATCATAATGGGTGTTGTACCATCAAACTTCTATTTAATTCGTCCCGAAATCTGCTCACGCTGATGACGTTTGCCGCGACTAGATGGAAATGAAAATTTAGTCATATTTTCCGCAGAAGTGGAAAGTAGATGGACTTGTCGGCGTTATGAAAAGCCTCGATCGGATTCGAAACCAGGAATGGATGCCACCTACGGGATTTTAAGACGTACACATTAACAGTTTAACTATGAGTACCCACTAACAGCTACAATCTTTTTGCACTACATCATTCATTCAACACAGAGACATGAAAAACACCAATCAAAATGTAGACCGTCTGCCTCAGTAGACTTTTCTTAGAACGAAGCGGAATCCATCTGATAAAACTAACCGCTCGACTAATACCTCATATTGCGCTGATTCGGAAGACAATCGAGACACTTGTGTAAATTATGTTTTTATTACGCAACTTAATGTGATGAACAGTAGTCGGGGCAAACTCCATAGTCACCAGGACCTGCTGTTCAACGATGGAAACCAGCAACCTAAGCCCCAGGACTTGGAATGGAGAATCACATGAGGTTCCATGAGGTTAGGGGGGGGGGGACGCAAAGCTCTCCACCACCAAAGTTGGGTAGCGGTGGCGGGGCTCGAACCATAGGGTCCAAATCACGCCGGTGACAGCGACTAAACCACTGCTCCATGTCATATAGTTTCTTTTTTACCTGCAGCTCACGTACCGTAATCATTAGGTGAGTAAAGCGCACGGCTTTGACTTAAAGAAGTCTCCGTTCGGAAGTGTTTGTTAGTGGCGTAAAACGTCTCACATACGTTGCTTTAAGACTTGAGCGGCCCTCGTGTGTGGGTCCGAATCCTATTGAGGCTCCTGATCTTTAAAATTGGAACATGAATAACCATCACTCAACTGCTTCTCGAAGTAACAATCACATTTCAAATGGGAATTCGTGCGTATAGCAAATAAAGCATGAACTGAAAAGCTAGGAAGCACCGGACAGCTATTTCGACCTGGTTAACTCTAGCTTAAATAACGTCGTCGTCGTCGTACAGTAAAATACAGTGAAGCAAACTTTGCTGATCGCTGCTTAAATAACCGTGTCTGTCCTTTTGGATGTGCCGGATTTTCCCACTAGGTTCCACTGCTGCCCGTTCCCTTCGACATTTTTCAGCGTCTCCAACCAATCAGCGTACGAACCACACTTACACCTTCCCGGTTATGGTAGTGGTTAACGGCTCGATTAGGCATCATGGTGTATTGGGTACCTTGGACGTTTGACCCCGTCCAAAGGGAGCATGATCCGATCAGTCGCTGTCACCGGCGTGATTTAGACCCCATGGTCCGAGGTTCGAGCCCCGCCACCGCCACCCGACTTTGGTGGTAGGCAGGTAGCCCTGCTGTCGTCCGGTTCAATACCACACCCAAACTATCGGGGCCTTATGTGGTTTACCAATCCAAGTCCCGGGGCTTAGGTTACCAGTTTTCATTTGTGAACAGCAGGTCCTCGTGATTATGGGGTTCCACCCCGTCTGCTGTTCATCACACGAAAGTGTGTAATAAAATTTAAAAAAACTGGACACCGGCTTCCTAA